ACTATAGCAGCAATAGGAAATGAACAGACCCCTAAACTTGGTCTATCACAGACTTCCTGTCTCGATTGCTGGCAACGCCCCCCCTTCCAAAAATCCCAAATGTCCTTTCCAGAAACCCTGACCCATCCTTCGCTCCTTCCCTTCTCACCCCTCATCAGAAAATCCTTCGGGTCGACTTACAGACTGCTGAGCAGCCCAGGCCTCTCCCGTGACCAGCCTGGCTGAGCGGCTGGCGTTTTTAGTCTGACAGTTTCAAACCCATGAAGTATGGAGAATAGGCCTTTACAAAGTCAGTCACCTCACTCGTGTGCTGCAACTGCTCCATGTCGCGCAGCGTGAGGAACCAGCAGCGGCTCCCCCGCCCACCCCTCACTTCCCCGACTTCTCTTCCAAGTCCCCTGGCTCTCCGGCTCCCCGGATCACCCCTCACTTCCCCGACTTCTCTTCCAACTCCCCTGGCTCTCCAGCTCCCCGGATCACCCCTCACTTCCCCGACTTCTCTTCCAACTCCCCTGGCTCTCGAGCCTCAGCAGACTCCGGGAGCTGAGCGCTGCAGGCCCATCCCCGCCTCAGGGGCTTTGCCCTCGCTGTCCCCTCTGCCTGGGTGTCCCTCCCTAGCGGTCTCTCTTGTGTTTGCTCATATCGCACCTCCAGGAGGTTGACTTCAGTACCTAAAAGTCCAGCCTGCACCGTTAACTCTGTGAAACCCCTCTTGTTGTTCTACTTTTCCTTTTTTAATCGTCTTCTGACTTATTTGCTTATTAAGTTTCTTCTTTATTGCCCATCCCCCACCGGTTACAACATAAGATCCAGGTGGGCAGGAACCTTCACCTGTTTTGTTCATGGGCAGATGTGTCCCCGGAACCTGGAACAGAACCTGCCACCGGGTAGGCACATCGGAATGAACGACTGACTGGACAAACCATTGCTTTGCAGCCTGAGGAGGCAGAGGTGTGAGACAAACAATGTCCCCAGGTGCTAGGCAGCCGAAGGAGTGACAGGCCACCTCCCAGAGGTGGCGTGCCCACTGCTGGCGGGTGCATCGGCTCCAGGTTTCGATGGCAAGACATCAAGACCAGCTGGGACTCACTCAGGTGGAAAGCGGAGCATGGACAGGACAGCCGATCCTGTGTTACGGCTTAACTTCTGTCTTCACGACTTCACGCCTCGTCTCTCTAAGCCGACAGTCAACTAGCGGATACAGATCCCAACTAGCGGATACAGATCCCACAAGGTTCCTCTCTGCACCACTTACTCTGCTAGTCCCGAAACAGGAAAGAGACGCCACCCCGCGGGGTGTGAAAGTGAGTGAGGCCCTTCTCCCTGTCCTCAGGCCTCTAGCCCCGCACTCGGGAGCTGTCACCTCTTTTCATTCCAACCACAGCCTGCAAGGCGGGGACCCCCGGTGATGCTGAGGTCAGAGAACGTGGACCGGGCATAGAAAACAAAGGAAGACAAAAGCTACGTTTCTATTTGTGCCTGATAATGGGCATAAATGGTGGAAATCGGTCTGAGAAGATAAACTCCAAATTGTTAACAGTGGTCACCTCTGAGGAAGGGAGAGAGAACTGGAAAAGATAAAAGGAGACTCTTATTACACTGCTTAGTTTGGTATTATTTATTTTCTTAAAAATAAAAACAAATGCCCTGGCCGGTTTGGCTCAGCGTTTGGAGTGTCAGCCTGCAGACCAGAGAGTCCCGGGTTCGGTTCCCGCTAGGGGCACGTAGCAAAATAAATAAATATATAAAAACAAACGTATCCTTGTATAAATGAGTTAATTATCTAAAAGCAAAAAGAGGATCAACTTTGAATGCATGTTCGGGACAGTCACTGAATCAGAAGTGCAATTGTAAAAAATGTCCAGCAGGAGGAGCTCTGGTATAAATGTGTGGGCAGCTGGAGATTCCTTTAGCGTAAAAGGTGACCACCACTGTGGCCCAGGCCTGAGCCATCGGAACAGACAGCCAGGGCTCGCATCAGGAAAGCCACTAGCCTGAGCCACACATGTGGGTACCAACACCAGCCACCGCAGGGGTGGGACTAACCTTGTTCGTTGTTTCACCTTCAGCCCCTAGCTCAGTGCTTGGCACCTAAAAAAAAGCTCAATAAATACCCAGTGAATAAATGATTGTTCTCTCTTGTTTACCTTTCCTTTAGAGCCTAGATTGGCTCTGCAACTTTTTGTTGGACCATCTGTGTTAAACCTGGGACTTCCTAGTTCGCCTTACCCAGGACATGGACGCCGGTCAGTGCAGCCTCCTGCAGCTCCTTGCCATGCTCCCGCTTCCATGCCCTGCAGACACGCAGGCCCCCGATGGAACAGTGGATGGCTCCCTCGAAGCCAGAGCACTCTGGGGGCCTGGGTGTGGCAGGACCCCACAGCATGGGCTGTGCATGGGGCTGGGAACCAGGTTAAGCTCAGAATGGGTTAAGTAAACAGACTCTGGAGAGAAAGACTGCAGAAGGACACAGTAAGGAGACTGGCATGGTGTGGAGTGTTCACGGGTGTGACCACTGATGTGAACTGTGAGAATGGGGTCAACTCCTTAGAGAAGCTGCGCCCAGCTGGGCACCATCAAACCATGTGGCGTGCCATCACCCACACACGCCATCACCCACATGCACCCCCCTTTCTCACTCTGGGGTCTTGAACACGCCAGTCTCCCTGGTTGACGTCCCTTCCTGCTCTGCCATCCCTGTGGCAGACTTTAAGGTGCACCTTCAGCGTCACCTCCTCACGGAGACATCCGGCACCCTCCCCCACCAGAACCGGGCTGCGCGTGTTTCTTCGCTCCCCCAGCCACCTGTGTATCCCCCTGATGTGGTCCGTCTCACTGTCCGGGCATCATTTTGGACAGCGGCTTTTTTGAAGACTTACCCATCTTTGCACCCCTGGCCTGGCTATGCCTGGAGAAAGTGGACATTCTACATGTGGTTTTAGTTAGAGAATGGATTAGGTGAATGGACTTCAGAGAAGAAAGCACAGGGTGGGGCAGGGTGGGGGTAGTTTAATTTTCTTTCAATGTAAGTTTTGTTGGAGGAGGTCAGGGATGGTATGAGAAAAGATTAAAAGCATCATGGGTCATACTTTCCTTTATGTATGCTATATTTCAATGAGACACTTGAAATGGGTGATATATTATTAGTGTGGATGAGGGGAGAGGGTGACAAGTGGCATAAGACCTTAGGACACCTAAAAAGGAAGAGAAAAGGCCCCGACTGATTTTCAATTCACAGCTTGTCTCAGGACAGCCAGCCTCCCCGGCTGATCCCACGGAAGCCCCGCCAACAGCATCCCTCCGGCCAGGCGTGGAGAACACCGTGTCCGCTGCCTTTGGGTTGCCGGGTGACCGGTCCACTGTCACTCACAGCACACTGGCCTGTGACTTCTTTGGGTGCTGCCATTTTTTAGTTCCTTGGAAAAGTGAATGCCTTGTTTTTTAAAGAATAAAAAAATAAACTTACTTTTATCTGAATATAAAAGTAAGAGCACCTGCTCCCTTGAAAAACTTCAAACAATGCAGAAAAATAAGTATCTTCTGTTATACTGCATGCAAAGCAGTGGACTTTTCTCCATGTCTATTCAAACACGTATTTATATTTCTCTATATTTTTTAAAATATTGTTATTGATTTTGTTTTAGAGAGACAGGAAGGGAGGGGAGAGAGAGAAACATTGATGCGTTGAGTGGAACACTGAGTGGCTGCCTCCTGCACGCCCCCTACTGGGGCTTGACCTGAAACCTGGACATGTGCCTTGAATCGAACCAGCAACCTTTCAGTGCATGGGTGATGCCCAACCAACTGAGCCCACCAGCCAGGGCCATATTTATATTTTTAAATGCATGAGGCTATGTTTGACATCAGGAATGCTACGGAGAGCAGAATCATTAAACCAAAGGTTCTAGGCTTTTGACACATTAAAATGTTGATTTTAAACATAAAGTTGCCTCCTAAATAGTCTCCTGCTTCTGACCCACTTCCTCTCCAGCCTCACTTCTACAACACTGTTCGAGCAACCATCCTGAACTGGGGTTCTGATGGCCACCACCCCCTCTCCAACCCCAGGTCAAAATCATCCGTGCAACATAAAATCCAGCTGTCGGGATCTTTCCATTTGCCCCCAAACTGCCTCCCTTGTCTCGGGTCCCCAGAGACCCTCCGCGTACCCTGGGTACCTTCTCTCGGTTCCTCATTCTCAACACAGCCTCTTCTCACTTCCTCCTGGAAGTCCCAATCTGTCCTCATTTCAGAACCATTTGTTTTTACGTCCCTCTTGAGAACAGTGACTTCATCCCTCTGCCTTTATGTCTGTCCTGGTGCTTCACCCTGACCAACTGCGACCCCGTGAACATTCGGTGCGTGAAGGAATCAACACTGACTTTGCACGTAATGAAGTGAGTTCATGTTCTGAGTAAACAACCCAGAACAATGCGCGTAGATAGAAGCCCTGTGTAGGTGTTACTTCCTAGTATTGTTATTACTAGTAGAGCTGTTTGATAATGATCAAACTACGCTCTACCGATGCAGTACTTTCTATTACAGGTCAGAGAGGCCAGCAGTCAGCACGGGGCCGAGGACTTCCACGCGAGCCCTTTCCGATCCTCACCGAAGCCCGTGAGGTCTGTTCTACGATTCTGCTTTACAGAGGAGAAAACTCGGAAGTGCTGAGCTTTTGTGACTTGGCCCAGATGACGCAGCGTTGGTGTCCCTGAGAGCTTTCCCTGGTCTGGGCAGGCGCAGCCCCAGCAGAAGCAGCGAAGCACCTGCTGTGTTTCTCCCTCAGGTGACATGGCCAGCGTCACGCCTGGCACGCAGCGGGTGCTCACTGCCTGCTGCTGAGTGGACAACGACAGGCGTGTGACCAGAGAGAAATGCTCGGGGAGGCCCCCAGCACGAGAGAGAACCGGGCGGCAGGCGGGAGCGCTGTGTTCTGGTCTGTCCTGTCCTGGGTCTCTGAGGCAACCCCCTGAAAGGTCGGTGGTTTTTCCTTCCCGCAGACAGACGCGGTACCAGGGGACTTCGGGCCTGAAGAGGAGGCGGACGCCGTGATGGTTAAGATGCTGACGGCTCAGTATGTGTGAAGACACGGGAGCCTCAACTCCCACGGAGAGGAGGCCGAAGTCTTCGGGGGCTCTGACCCCATCACAGGCCCACCTGGTTCCGTTGAACATTGACGATGTCCCCCCAAAGCTTCAGTGGCAACAGGATGAAACGGAAGCCCAATTTGGAAAGGAGTTTTAGACCCTCGAGGAAAGATGTCTAGGGCCCTTCCTTGCGGACGCATCCCATTGCCTGGAGCGAGTAGGGGGGAGGCGGCCGCAGAGATCGGGGCCTGAGGGCCTGGGAGAGCCCCGGTTCAGGGGCATCTGATGACGCTGGTCGATAGGATGCGCCCTGGCCGGTGTGGCTCAGTGGTTGGAGCGTTGGCCTGCGGACCAGAGAGTCCTCGGTTTGATTCCTGCTAGGGGCACGTACCAAAAAAAAAAAAAAAAGAAAGAAAGAAAGGAGAATGCGGATGAGAAAGAAAATCCTAAAAACATTCCTGAATATCAGTTGATATAAAATATGTATTGGAAGGCCCAGCAGTTTGATTTAAAAAACATGGGACTCTCTTCTGTCGGTCTTCAAAGACAGGAGGTGGGTGTGACCATATCTTGGCTGCCCGATAGAGCACATGTCTGAAACTCACCTTGAACATAGTAGTTATGGATAGATTGTGCCCCACACCCCAAAGTTTATATTTTGTTATGGCAGCCCTGGCAAACCAATGAATATTTCAAAAGTAAGGTATAGCCTGGCCGGTGTGGCTCACTGGTTGAGCATTGACCCATGCACCAAGAGGTCACCTGTTCGATTCCCAGTCAGGGCACATGTCCAGGCTGTGGGTCCGATCCCCAGTGGGGGGCATGCAGGAAGGAGCCAATCGATGTTCTCTCTCATCAATGTTTCTATCTCTCCCTCTCCCTTCTCCTGTCTCTCTAAAATCAATAAAGAAAAAATATTTTAAAATAAATAAAATTTAAAAAGTAAGGTATAGAAGCAGTCATGTGGAGGGGAAACCAGCTTTCTTCATTCCTTCTTTTGCGAGATGACACAAATTGCTATTTGCCCAGGGTGCAGAGTAGATGTGAGTAACTAGAGGATCACTTGGAGGATTCACAGCCTCACGTCACAGTCCCAAGCAGAGGGCATCCAGCTCCTGATTCTTATTCTTTTTTTCTTTATTGATTTCAGGAAGAGATGAAGGGGGAGGGGGAGAGATCCACACTGATGAGAGAGAACATCGACTGGCCACCTCCTGCACGCCCCCCACTGGGGATCAGGCCCACAACCTGGGCATGTGCCCTGACCGGGAATCGAACCAGCAACCACTTGGTGTGTGGGTTGACAACACTCAACCACTGAGCCATACAGTCTGGGCTCTTATCTTCTATTTCTCGAGTCTTTCCGAAATTCCTCAGTGCAGGAAGGTGGAATTGGTGGAAATGAGTCTTCATGGAAGACTTTGCAGTTGCTGGAACTTAGTTAACAGGCTTTGAGACACAGAGTCAGATGTGCACTTCACAGGAGACTTTCCGAGCCAAGGAGGGGCGACCTGGGGCACAGCAAGGACCAGAGGGCAGTATTTCTGAGCAGTGGGAGCTGCTATTTTAAGACCAGGAGAGGGTTCCGAATATCCACATCAATAACCAATGAAGCAGGTTGTAGAATCCAAACTATGCCAATATCAATACAGTTGCTCATTATTTACAGCCTTATGTCTTGTATTGTCTTGGTAGAGTTTTTGTTTGTTATTTTAAATCCTCACCCGAGGATATTTTTACATTTATCTTCAGACAGAGTGGGAGGGAGAGAAAGAGAGAAATATTGATGTGAGAGAGACACATCGACTGGTTGCCTCCTGCACAACCCCAACTGGGGCCGGGGACAAACCGCAACCAAGGTACATGCCCTTGGCCGGAATTGAACCCGGACTCTGGTCCACAGGCCGATGCTCTAACTGCTGAGCCAAACTGGCCAGGGCGGTAGAGTCTATTTAAGATACATCCCGAAAATAAGACATGTGTGTGTATTAAATCACTTTACTCAGCATTTTAGGAATTCATTGTTCTATTTTCCCCCAAAAGGTGTGGATTGCAGTAGGTTCTCTAAAGCATATTTACTTATTGTTATGCTATCTTGGTCCTTTGAAAGTCCTACTGTTACGTAGTTATTAAGGAGAGCTGCTGAAAGGACCCAAACTCGTCCCCAAGATGTCTTACTGGAGAAAGCTGCTGATGACAAGGCAGGGTGAGTGCCTGTGTCTCCATCCTGTGCAGAACATAATGAACAAAATAAGCTGATGAACAAAACAGACCCAGAGACATAGAAGTAGGGTTCAGACTGACAAACTTCAGAGGAGGAGGTTGCGGGGGAGGGTTACGATAAGCCAAAGAACTTATGCATATAAGCATAACCAATGACATAGCCAACAACGCTGGGGGTGCAGGGGTGGGAATGGGAGGAGGGTGTCAGTGGGGGAAAAAAGAGAAACTTCTATAACAAAAATAAATTAAAAAAAGAAAATTAACACTAACAATAATAATAATAAAAAGAAGTGCAAGGTTTAACCTGGCTGTACCGGCAGGACTTGGTCACAGAACTGTGACATAACTAAGACGGTGCCTGTCAGATTTCACTGTTTGGGAAGAACATGGTTAAAAGCTCTCAGAAGAACACACTCAACTTGTTTGGATTCTGTGTGACACAGAGGTCTGCACAGAATTATAATCAGAATGAAGGTTTTGTTTCCAAAGGCTGGTGTTAATAGAATGTAGGGGAGAGGGAGGGAGGAAGGGAGGGAGAGCTAACCTCTAACCCTCATTGACTGATAATTAAACCAGTAATTGTGCTCTATCGGTATGTGTGTGATGGAGACACAGGGTGCTTTGGGATGACAGAGTAGAGAGTCTAATGCTGTCTAGCCTCAAAAAACAAAAAAGTGGAAACCAAAGAGATAAGGACTATTCAGCTGGAGGAGAGGCAGGACCATGAGGGGGTGGGTTTGGAAGGATATATAGAAAATAGCAGCAGCAACATCAAAATGCCACTGTAGGCCTGGCCAGCGGTTAGAGCTTCAGCCCATGGACCAGAGAGACCCGGGTTTGGTTCCCACTAAGGGTATATACCTCAGTTGCAGTTTGTCCCTGGCCCTGGTTGGGGTTGTGTGGGTGGCAACCAGTCAATGTGTCTATCTTGTATCGATGTTTCTCTCTCTCTCTTCCTCCCTCCCGCTCTATCTGATGATAAACGCAAAAATGTCCTTGGGTGAGGATAAAAAAATGCCACTGTATAACTTTTTATTTATTGTTAATCCTCACCGGAGGATATTTTCCCGTTGATTTTAGATAGAGTAGAAGGGAGGAAGGGGGCGGGAGAGAGAGAGAGAAACATTGATGTGAGAGAGACACATCGATTGGTTGTCTCCCGCACTACACCGACCAGGGTCAGGGATCAAACCCAAACCCCTGGTATGTGCCCTTGGCTGGGAATTGAATCCAAGACCCTTCTGTCTGAGGCCAGACACTCTAACCACTGAGCCAAATCGGCTAGGGCATAACTTTCCATTTAAAACCAAATTCAAACCTGACATCTTTGAAGAGTTGAATCTTGTCAGAAAAATTGTTTTGCAAGTTATCAGTTCTAGATGTGCTATAATTTATATTAAGAAATAGGTTATATTTATTTAATTGCTGTCAAAGTCTACAAAATGTATTATATAGTCTAGCAACAGTTATATCAGTAGAAAATTCTTCTGAAAACATAAATTATCAAAAATTATTTGCATTCTTGAATTTGCTAAGAGTGACTGGCAAACTCAATTATATTGATTAAAAAATGAAGTTGCCACAAGTATGAATTTCGGTGACCGAACAAATAAATTTGCAGAAAAGTGATCAGGGAAATCTTATGATTAATCTAGATGTCACATTAATAGCACATTATTTATTGTATTATATATTGTATTACAGAAAATATTATATAAATTATTATATCAAAATATATTCTTGCAATTTGTAAGTTTAGTCACATTTTATTAGTAATAAAATATTTTAATAAAAAATGTTTAAAATACTTTATTACAGCTTGGTACTTTTTCTTTTTTTTTCTTTCTTTTTAAAAATATTCTTACGCAAGTGAGGGAGGAAGAGAGAGGGAGAGGGAGGGGGGGGAGAGGGAAAGAGAGAAAGAGAGAGAGACAAACATCGATGTGAGAGAGACACATTAACTAGTTGCCTCCCGCACGACCCTGACTGGGGCTGGGGATTGAACCTGCAACCTAGGTACATGCCCTTGATTGGGAATCAAATCCAAGACCCTTCAGTCCACGGGCTGATGCTCTAACTGCTCAGTCAGTCTGGCCAGGGCATAATAAAATTTTTTTTTTTTTTTTTTTATCCTCACTCGAGGATATTTTTCCATTTTTTGTACAGATAGAGTGGGAGGGAGAGAGAGGAAGGGAGAGAGAGAGAGAAACATCGACGTGAAGGGACACATCGAGTGGCTGCCACCTGCACGACCAACCAGGGCCGGGGACAAACTGCAACCGAAGTACGCGCCCTTAGCGGGAACCGAACCCGGGTCTCTCCGGACCGCAGGCCGACACTCTAACCGCTGAGCCAAACTGGCCAGGGCATAAAATGTTTTTAAAGAAAAAAAGCTTATATTTTACTAACTTAGCTGCACTTTTTCCCCCTGCTGTTTGAACATTTTGCATCTGCACAAATTATGTAGCTGGCCCTTCTGCTAGAACCACGGTTTCTTCTGGCTCACGACGCTGAACTGTCAACGCAGAGCCTCTGTGTAGCACCCTGAAGGGGCGCAGAATATGCCACCCCCAAACATGCCACTTCGGCACACTGATTATTTTTAATTAAAGGTACTTGAGAAAGAGCTGTTGCAAGAACACTCTTAACCTCCTTTGTCCCGCTGAAATTACACAATTAATTAAAAGCCACACAATTAATGAGTCGGAGCCACATTCTCAAGAGTGGTTTGTGTTCTCTTTAAAATCCAATGAAATGTTGATGAGGGTGTAAGG